CTTTTTTTTGTCAATTCCCTTTGAATGAGATACTCAGGAGATACTTGAAGACTGTCACGATTCTTACTCTGCAAACATAACACAAGTCCTCCGGTAGTTTTCGCAGGAGGATAACACAGGATAAAACACATTGCGACGCAAACTCCATGCTCAGTGATCTCCAAGCGTAAAAGGGGTGAGATACGAACTCGTAGCTTATCCATCCCTAGTCTGGAACACGGGGTTTCTGGCGTGAAACAAAAGACAGAAAAACAGCTGTGTTGTTTGGCCAGCTTATCCCTCCCATCTCCTCCCAGTTTAGTGTTGTGACACTTATGGCATAACTAGTTCCGTACAGTGCTTCTGATTGGTTCTTGCTTGCGAATGTTCGTAACATAGCAACACCCAATCAGAAGCACTAGACGAATCTTCCGTGAGCCACGTGATCAGCATGCGCAATTTTTCTTCGGGTCGAATCTTCTATGCACTGCACGCAAATTTAATTGGGCGGGCGCGTCGGCTCGAGTAGGCAAGAAGACCGTTTGTTGAGAAGATGAAATGCGGGGCTCTGATTTTTAGAAGGATTCCTTTGTTATTCAGTTATGAAACAAGCGCAACAAGATTGTCTTCTGGTCCATAAGTTGTCTTAGATAGTTCATTAAAAAATGATATACCGTACATTTCATTTATTTATTTACAAAAACACCCACTTACACTACCAATCCTTGAATCAACGGCGTTTTATTAAAACTTTACAAACGCACGAGATTAATATACATAATATTTACAGTGAATTTCTTTGCTAAAAAACACTCTGGAAAAATGGCACATTCAAGAGACGCCTAAATTTCAGGCTAAAAAGAAGTCATTAAATCATCAAAGTTACATTTTTATCTACATCTCGTGCTTGTTACTTGGTAACAGCTATTCGTTCTTGTTTTATTACATTTGAATTTGTATCTGGAACAAAGACCTATGAACAAGAAGTCAAACCTTGATATTGTGTAAAATTGAACGGCCGCAAGACATAAAGCCGATTTAAGTAAAAGTTAGACTAACTTAGTATTATTACAGACTAGGCTTGTGAAATAGTTCGTTTTACGTACAACCAACGCAATATCTGATAAATAAATTATAGGACTATATATAGACTAACTACAAGGTCCACTCTATTAAGTATGATTAATTTGAAAGACTTTTGAACGTAGCTTGTTAAACATGCTTTCGTCTACTTAAAAAAAAACTGTATTCAGTTCTCCTAAGAGAAGAATTCGTCAACGATAAAATTAGTCATGCAGTTCAACGTTGCTATAAGACCCTAAACAACTCCTTGCTCCAGCATTGATTGAGCGACCTTTATGAAGCCTCCGATATTCGCTCCCTTAGCGTAATCGATGTAGCTGCCATCTTTCGATGTGCCGTACATGACGCATGTATTGTGAATGCTCTCCATGATGTCATGTAGACGTTCGTCGACTCCCTCTCGAGTCCAGGCGCTGCGCAGACTGTTCTGTGACATTTCCAGACCTGACACTGCCACTCCACCGGCGTTGGACGCTTTACCAGGCCCGTAGAGGATCTTATTACGCTGGAATACTTCGATAGCTTCAGGATCTGATGGCATGTTAGCACCTTCTGCTACACAGTAACATCCATTGTTGACCAACATTTGCGCATCCTCTGCGTTGACTTCGTTTTGAGTTGCGCAGGGTAGCGCCACGTCGCACTTCACAAACCAAGGGCGTTTCCCCTCGAAGAATTCCGCGTCAGGAAATTTTTCCACGTACTCGCTGATACGGCCGCGTTTGACATTTTTCAGCCACTTGACGTATTCTATCTTCTCCTTGTCCAGACCACCATGGTCATACACAGTGCCCTGTGAGTCCGACAGGGTCACAACCTTGCCGCCAAGCTGCAGCACTTTCTCCGAGGCAAACTGAGCCACGTTGCCCGATCCTGACACCGCCACGGTTTTTCCTCTAAGGGTCTCGCCCCGCGTGTTAAGCATCTCGGCTGTGAAGTACACCAGTCCGTAGCCAGTGGCTTCCGGGCGCAGCATACTTCCTCCGAAGCTGAAAGATTTTCCCGTCAGTACCCCGGTGAACTCGTTACGTATTTTCTTGTACTGGCCAAACAGGTAACCGATTTCTCTGCCTCCTACTCCAATATCCCCGGCAGGCACATCCGTATTCGGACCGATGTGCCTCTGGAGCTCTGACATGAATGACTGGCAGAAATTCATAACTTCGTTGTCGCTCTTTCCTTTGGGATCAAAATCTGAACCTCCTTTTCCGCCTCCCAGGGGTAAAGTCGTGAGACTGTTCTTAAACACTTGCTCGAACCCGAGAAACTTAAGAATTCCTAAATTGACGGTGGGATGAAAGCGCAACCCGCCCTTGTAGGGACCAATGGCTGAGTTGAACTCCACACGGAAGCCCCTGTTGACATGGACCTCTCCATGGTCATCCCTCCAAGGAACCCTGAAGATAACGACCCTTTCTGGCTCCACGATGCGCTCCAATATGTTACTGTCGAGATACACGGGGTTTGCTTGAAGGTAGTCCCACAGGGAAGTTACCACTTCATGTACGGCCTGGTGAAACTCATGTTCCCCCGGGTTCTTCGTGACCACGTGGCTCATAAAGTCATCTAGACTTTTGAACTTCATGTTTCCTTCCTGTGGAGAATAACAAGAAATTTTACCACTAATTTAAATAAGTCTATATACTCTTAACACAAGTACATCTTCTCCTTATGTAGGATCTGCTTGGACAAAGAACCATGATTACCAAGCGAAACGTAATAGGTGATTTGCATGATGGCGTCATTTGACTACAACTACCAGAATCCTTCACGTTTTCTGTTTCTTGGGCTAATTAGGGCAATTGTTGTTTAAACCCCACTGGTCTTCAAAATTTAAATAATAAAGAAAAAAACGAAAGGAATTCTGGTAGTTGTAGTCAAACGACGACAACGTGCAAATCTGCAATTATGCAGAGCACGAATGAAAACAAATTATTCTCAATCCATGAAAAATCCTGCTAGTTGTGATTGATCGAAGTCAAGAGAAGATCAAGGTGAATTACCTTAATCTTCTCTTGTTGCATTTGAAGTAGAATGTATTGAAATATTTGATATCTAGCACGAAACTCGTGCTAGATATCCAACCTTAAGTTTTAAAAATGAAAGAAACATTTTGACCAAAACCACACTATGTAAGTTATGTCAGATTCACTTAGTTGGCATTCTTGAATTTTTATCGTCGAACGAAGCACGTTTACCTTTGTGGGTGGACTTCCGAACTTCGAGGTAAGAAGGCTTAAACTGGATTTCGCGAGTATCCAATTACTTCTCCTAAAAATCTTTACAAAGATAATTCCACTGGGGTAATACATTCACCAGATATCTTCCTGGTAGAGCCGACCAGAAACTAATTAGACCGTAACGACAAATTACGTAAACAAATGATCTTCATAAAATGCATTTTTCCGCGCGCTACGATCAATCACGGAGCCTAATATTTGCCCGAGAAGAACAGATTAAAATAACCGTTGCACGAGATACTTATAAAATTTTAAGAGACAAACTAAGGTCATACAGCAGCAGCAATCTAAAGAGTTTTCTAAAGAGTTAAACTTCTTCGTCCTTTCTTGAGAAGAAAAGCGCGAGCACTCGTAAACGTAGAACAACCTTTAATTGACGTCATGTTACTCTCGGATAATACACTAAGCCTCAAAATACAATAACGATCAGTTACTGATGGTCTTGTAGAATCTCGTGGACTATCTCATACGAGAGAGATTCTTATAGGTTTCTCCATCGAAGCCGCTTAGGTGCTCACGCAACATTTCACCAGAAGAGGCATTGCGTGATGGCACTAATGCGCACCTGGTGACGAGTCACGCAATCGTGCGGATGAACACTAGCCGAAATAATTGCGGCTGAAAGAAAGCAAGTAAACGTTTGTTGACGGGTTGATGGACAGCGCTAGCTGAGCAGTAAGAATTTTCATGGAACTTTGCTGTTAGAGAAAAAAACAAAAACAAACAAAACAAAACAAAACAAAACAAAACAAAACAAAAAAAAAATAGGGGGCCAAAAAACCATGCTTTGACTAGCGAAACGAAAATATGTATATTAGTATAGACGATGACGTCAGACGCGGAAACCAAGAAAAAGCCAATCAGTTACCAGATTCAGTGCCATCGGTCAAGGTCAAGGATTCCCAGATAGTCACGCGAAATAGGAGCACGTACGAACTTCTTTTGCTTAGACACAAAATAAAGATCTGCCCGAATTGCCGGAAACGACCACAGCTCCACACAAAGATCTTCTAGAACGTACCTTTCGAGAAAATAATAGAGGTTCGTGCGCATCTTGCAACCCTGTCACCGAGAACAAAGATAGTTTGGGAATGGTCCCAGGTTTTACGGGTCCATCCGTTTTGTTCTCAGATTTGATTAGTTTGGTAGCTGGCCAGATTTTTCCTTTTCGAGCCAAAGAATGTACGCTACAATTGTTCCTTCCAGGAATGTGGGTAATTTTTGGTCATCCGAGCAGGCCAAAAAGATTTCTTAGAAATCACGTCACAATTTGATTGGATAGCCGGGCATGGCAGGGTGTTTCCGGGCGATCGGAGCAATGCTTTCACTTTCAGTGGGAAAAACTGCACTCTCTGCGAGGAAAACAAAAAGAATAGAGTACACTGATTTTGTTGATTGCTTTTTTGCCCTTTCCCTTTCGGCCTCCAATTCCTCCATTTTATATTATAACTAATCACAGATGTTTCTTTATTTGCGATCATCTCAATAATAAATATTTAGCCCGCCCATAACCTTCTGTTAAAAGAGAGAAACCGACTGGAACTTAGAATTTTGTTAAAAATTAAAATACATTGGTCTAATCGATTGTGACAATTAAGTATGTTAATAGCCGAATCCAACCCCATCATGAGGCGGCGTCGAGTAACAAACTGATGTGTTCCGTAGAATTTGTATTTAGACAAATCGACGGAAAAAATCATCCCCAAACATTTCCAGTCGACCAATGCATACTTCTGATCGGTTCTAATTCGTCAAAATTTAGGTTTCATGTATTACGCAATCTTTCTTGGTGGAGTGATCGATTCGCGTGAGGAGATAATAAACACGTTCGCTTTGGTGATGATTTGTCACGCTAGGCGCAGGCCAACGACATGCAATGTTTCGTTTTGTCGAACGAAATCAAGCGGAATATCCGGGATTACTAGTGGAAAACTTCAGCTTCTTGCTTAATTACTTCTGTGGAAAAAAAAAATCAATAAATGTACATGTAGATGCCTGCGCAGGCTCGTCAGAGTAGTGCAAAACTGTGCTTAGTTTAATACGCAGTGACGTGTTTTGAACACAACATCACGACCGTTCCTTTTTCTGACTGTTTGCGCCGACGTCTTCACTTGACCTTTCAGTCTTTCTTTCTTTCTTTCGATTGCGTTTAAAATTTGCAGCAAAAGAATGCTGGCATAACATGTCAAGCTGCAGAAACGTTTTAAAACCGGGCTTGCAAACATGAGCCAAAAATCGAGAGCATGTTCATGCAGGGCGAATTTGATATTCACAGAAATTTGCACAAATACTAAATTACTCATCTGTAGCTAAATTCCTACTTTATTGGGCCACATTTTCGATTTTATTCGAGCTCCCAAACTTGGCAAGGCTGCTAGTTCTGAGGAGCTTTCATCTGTATAGCCGGAAGAACGATAGAATTTTCTACCGAACGCGAATACAATTCGAAAAGGTGAAAACCCTAGTTACCGGTTTTGTATCCACTTCCAAGCACTCGTTGCGCACTATATTTCCTTACATAATCCCTCACTAACGTTCATACTATTCAAACTATTTGTTTAGGAAAAGAATTGTGAGGTTTAAAGAGAGCGATGTTAGGTATTTTCTGCGACCTTCAGCTTTGGAGCAAAGGCAAAAACGATAAACAAATCTACCTACCACCAAAGTGTCGCCATTTTCTATGATGGCAGACTGTTGTACTCCAGTTATACATCTAACAGGGACTCGTCGTAGAAGCCGTGAGCCTCGCTGAATTGAAAATCTACTCCCTATGGTTCGTAGAAACATTGCTGTACAGAATGATGTCCTTCGCGAAATATTTGTTGTCGACGCCGCTTTGTTCAATAAAATGTATGTTTTATTTCCCGGCTTGCTTTAGCTTTGCCGATTTGCTGCTGTGTTATGGGGGAGTGTTGTGGGCGTTGTCAGGACGTCGATTTTGATTGGCTAGCAGACAATAGAAAAAAACAGCATGAAAACCGTCAGGCGTGCACGACATCACATGTTCAGAAGAATCCAAAACAGACGTTTTCAAATTCGGCCTCGCGTGAGCCAAAAAATGCAACACAAATTTTCCAATGTGATTTTATATCAGAAGTTAAAATTCTTCCATAAAAGCGCAAATGTATATTTTTTCCAAGCGAAACTAGCAAAGTGATACAAGAAATCAACATCGTTGTACCTATGCACACTTGGCTCAAAGAACTATCCATTGATAACTTTGATCGAAGCTTCGAACGGATCAAGCACTTCTCAGTAGAATTCTTCGAATTTTTTCCTGACCAAATATTTTACTTTCCTTTTTCCCAATGGGGCACTCCAAAGTTTAAATTAAGTAATGGACATACATTTCTAATGGCATGCTTTCCCCCTGACGATTTTCCTCCCGACTTTTGAGTCGTGCAATGTTAGACGTCTCTCCAATTAGGCATCCGTAAAGAAGAGACAATTATTGTTCTGCGAATAAATAAAGACAATACACTATTGAAACAGGAAACAAAGCGCATTCTAGAATTCTTTGTTTACTAATCAAGGTGATCAGGAAGTCAGTGTGGTATGTTTCAGACAAATGAAAAAAATAAATAAACAATTGAGAATAAAAAGTTACAATGTTTTATTAATCAGTTACACAAAATCATAAGAACTACGAAGTTAGAAGTCATACAATTTTCTTAAAGACACTGCCAGTCATTACAGTAAAACAAGATAAAGTGAAAATACATTGATCAATAAAAAAAAGCTTTCATTGAAACAAGCCCATATAAGCTAAATGCTGGCACTTAACAGCATCCTTCATTTTAACTAAAAAGTTTCAACATGACATCCTAGAGCCTGCCTACTTTATTTTGCACTAAACGAACCTGTGAAGACGCATGCATCAGAGCCAAATTAAAACAATGCCTTATCTTCACTCTTTTCCCCACTTGATAGCCTATAATTTTGGAGGTTAAAAATAAATAGTTCTTTTCCGGTGCCTGAGGGTCCTAGCAGGGGCTCCTTTCCTGAACAGCAGCCGGTAATCAAGCCTAACATTTGTCAAGATTGTATTTTCCATGTTGCTGTATCAACATTATAAAATCAATTCTGAGATGTTGCCCACAGTTTTACCATCAAAATTTAAATAACAGATTGAAATTCTAAGTATAATAAAATCTTAGGGATGGTACATGTAATTTCTTTTATCAATACAGCAAATGTCTCTTTTAAACATTTTACTAATCCTCACTAGTTTTCATCGAATCTTATTAGTTATATTAAACAAATCCATCAGTAAGTTTCAAAATAATTTCACACTTGCAGCAGATAAGACAACTTTCCTTTTGAAACAGAAGGCAACTTGTTGCAACTAAAGAGAAAAACAGTCTGACTGGCACAATGTTTAATCTCTACATTGCTGCCATGTAGAGAGAGAGAAAAAAGTTGCAGCAATGCATAATCAATGTAATAGTGGCAGCCTCAGTTCCTACTGGTACACCGTTAGCCTCCTACGCAGACATCCTTAGGGCTTGTTGTAAAGAGGAAAGATTGCATGAGGAGCTGTAAGAACATCTGCATAGGATACTAGTACACTTTGACTTCAACAACTGATTCAAAAAGAGATAGAGAGAGAAATAAAAAAAAAAAATAAAAGCCATCCACTATTCCATCCAGCTGTGGTTTGTCTAACCCAAGGGCATTTAATTTTCAGGATGAGAGATTAAGTCCAAAGCAAGGATTGCAGAATTGTGAAGGACCTTCCACTTTAAATCACAGTCAGTACTGGCAGTGTGTTTAATGTTAATATCCAGGATTGATTCGCCGATGTTTCCCCTTTTTTACAGTGCTTGACATTTCCTCGTCTTCATCAGCTACATCAGAGTCGACTCCAGCGCCTTCAGTCATAACATTAGCTAGCATCTCAGGTATTCTGGCAATATCACCTAGTCAAAAAGACAATGTAAAAAAAACAAAATTAGCCATTTATGCTTTTGGTAAGTGTAATTGCAGGTTCTAATGTAAGACTACTTATTTCAGTCCCTTGTAAGGGACTCAGTGGTCATGAGCATCCAACTGGTATTTTAGGAAGTCCTGTGTTCAGATCCAATCAGTGACTGATAGTCTTTCCGACTGTCTGATAAGTATGGCAAGCTTACCAACATCTCTTCATCATTTCACCAAACGTACCATCATTTCGCTTCTATTCATGAAGTTTAGTCCTGACATGTCTTGATAATTTATTGTATCGTACTTTCATGTCTGGCTTTGGCACAGGTCAGAGAGGACAGAAGAAGAGGGTGACAGGGGGGGTGGGGACCAGGAGTAAAGAGGGGAAGAGCTCTACAGAAAGCAGGAAATAGATCGCGTCTCATTGAACAATATTATGCAATATCAAAAGTACACTGTTCCACGAAGAGGTGGAAACCATTAATGAAAGGGCAGCCACCAGATAGGTGCCAGAAGTATAAGGTCCAAAAAGTAGGAAGTACGCTCCTTTCCCCACCACCCCCTTCCCACACAAGAAGAAAAAACTCAAGAAAAAGTTCCCTGAACAAATAAAGAACTTATTACAATCGAACCTGTATTAAGTGGTCACCCTCGGGAAATGGCTAAGTGACCGCTTAATACAGGCTGACCGCTTAATACAGGTTGTACAAAATACAGGTCAGAACACAGTGAAAATGCCATTTTATATCACAGTTAATGACGGAAGGGAAGCACCTAAACAGAGGAGGTTGCTATGGTCTAGAAGTGCTATGTGAATATCATTTTCAAGGGGATGAGTTTGTTGTGTAACTGGCTTAAACAGAAATTAATGAAAGATGAATTCGATCCACAATGCTGACAAGACTTTTGACCTCAAGGCAGGAACATTAATATCCGGCGATATAAACAAGGAAATCAACTACCTGGTGTGCTATTTGTAACTGTATGCACTAGTATTTGAGTGGCTTCCTTTTACAAAGTGACCGTTTAATACAGGTCAAGACAATAGAAACAGCTCGTAAGGACTTAGTAAAGAGTGACCGCGACCACTTAATAGAGGTCAAAATTACAGTAATTAAGGGAAGTAATTTTCGGGACTTTGACAACTGACCGCTTAATAGAGGGTGACCGCTTAATACAGGGCTGCTTAACACAGGTTCGACTGTACTTACATGCTACTGTTGTCACACAGAGGCTCCTGGTGAAGCGCCTGCCAAATTTGCTTTGTGTTGCAAGCCTGTCAGAAAACAAGACAGTCATATAATTTGAATAATATTACATACATGCATGCAGAATACAGATATCTCAGTGGACCTTTTCACTGATGCAATTCTCTTTTCAGATTTTTTCATTCAAACAAAACAAAAAGCCTCCCCACTTGATTTACCATACCAAATTTAGCAAATAAGTGAAGTTTAAAAAGAACCCAAACTTGGAACCCCAAACTTGCCAATTTCTATAAGGAAATGTATGCCAGAATGCAAAGAAGGGAATATTAAACCAAAAAGCCTTCTGTGGGAGGGCACATGAACATTTTCTGGAAAAAAAAAAGCACAATAAGAGGTAGCTCTGAAAGTTGACCAATGTTATCCAGTCCCTGAATGGTTAAAGAGTGGATGATGTCACTGGCAATGGTGTTACATTGTGTGGCATTGAAACTTGATCTTCCAGGAAATCTGAAGATTGAACATTGTACCTTTTCAGTGTCATGCAAGTGAGACACACATTCAGAAGTGAGCACTGTAGTGGGATTGTAATCGTGAGGACGCAAAATAATTGTTTAAAGTTTTCCAGTTTAGTGATTAATTTGTTGCAAGACCCATTCATGACAAATGATACTTTGCTTTCCACTAGATAGTGATTTATTTGGTCTTGGTCACTCCAGAACAAGGATAACATCAATTTTACTCATAAAATCACCAGTGGATGGCTTGGTTGGTTTTAGTGAAATTCACCTTTAAGATGGTAATTTATCCAGTAGATAAATGAATGCTATTCACTTTTTGAACAAATGGATCCTAGTGCATTACATTATATTTGTCCAAGAAACAACCAGGACCAGTGCTTCTGTCTGGCTTGTTTGTTCTCCCAAAAATCTTAATGTAACATATTTGGTGTGATTAATTTGTTTCACTATGGCCTAGGTAGACAGATGCCTGTCTCACCCCCACATGGATGGTATTAATTTTGAAAATCAACAATTACAATGCTCTACAGAGAGCTCTGTATTTAAGTCTCTGATTGGTTGATAGTAGTGCTTAAAACATCAGAACAGACTAATTACAACCAATCTCTGAAGAGCAAACAGAAAGGCTTGTCACTCATTCGGTAGCCTGCGTAGCAAGCGTTTCCGTGGGGTTTGGAAGCAAAGAAAGACCGAGGAACGGGATTTTCGGTGTTTTGTCTGCACGGAAAATGGGGCGA